TAAGTGTCTCATTCATCAATCTTAATCCGTCGAATAGCTCATTCGTTTCGTGCGACAATGAGCGAAAACGAACTTTCGGAAAAGGAGTCTCTGGAATAGAAAAGTGTCTAAAAAGAAGTTTCTCTGTGGGCGAATAGGTTCACCTTTGATGATCTTATTGGGTCATTGCTGACTTTAGGCACTCCTATGAGTCGATGGAACTACAATTTATGCAATTTTACACACACTCCATCTTTGTTACGATCAAATTTTATACAGTAAATCGAGTATATCCTTTGCAACCGCAGATTACTATATAGACATACGCACCTTTTATCTGTGTGCATTTTCGCCGTACTCTCTATTACCCAGTATAAATACATTTTATCTTTTTACACGTTCTTTTCTCGATTTCTTTTGCAAAAGAAATTAAAAGAAAAGAAGTTGCTTACGCCGCACAAGCGTATTTATTTAGAAATTACGAAAAAAATGGTTGAAATTATTTTTAAATAACGCAATTATAACTAAAAATCAAGCTATATCTCTTTTTATTTCTCGATTTACAAGCATTTTTTGTCTCTGTGTATTAGAACTGTAACCTGAATTAAGGAACTAATATAAATGTGAAGTGAGAATGAAATAGCTATGTTAAAGTTCTAGAAACGGGTTTACCTGTATAACGAAAGTGTGTATTATACTAATATGACAAACTTACAAAATAAAATATACGATAAACAATATAATCATTATTGTGTCTATACACTGTACCGAACATGTATTATAGTATTTAATAACAAAAAAAAAAGCAATTTACTGCTGCAAACGCGAGGCACATTAAATATATATGTACAATAACTCTGTTAAGATTTGAATAGCGATCGTGTAACTTTATCCCTAGACCGAAAACGTGAAAAGTGAAAATTTTTTGTATATGCAAACACATATATATATATATATATATGTAGGATTTGTAACGATATTCAAATTCAAAATTTCCGCGTCCCTAGAACATTTGGGTATTTTTTTTATCGAATGCTATTATATTATTACATTAACGTAATTAAGAACATATAGTTACACAATTTTTGGTTTATTTTAGTTTATCAGATTCTGTGATTAGTTTTTTTACGCATAATTTTATGAAAAAGCCAATTCTTCTATTACATACCCAGGGATGTGATTCTGTCAGTGCACAGTATAAAATTGTCTTCAGATGTACACTATCTCCTCCAAGGAACATCCCTGTGAGTACTTCAAGTATTTCTTTATTATAAGGCGGCAACATAAGGCAATAAGTGTTTTTAATTAGAAATATTATATTTTGTTTTCCACATGTTTATTAATTTCCTAAAAAGTTACGGTATATTTGTTGTAGGATAACATTTTGATTTTATTTTTTACGTTAAAACTTAAATAATTTAGTATTCGGTTCTTTCAAAACAGGTTGTAACTTCTTCAAAATTATGTTGTTTTTTGAAAGAATTTAAGTTTATAAAAAATGGTGATTAATGATTAAATATTATTTTTCTGTTAAATGAATCTTATAGATAATTTAGTATACTTAATTAAGAAAGTGATTATATTTGTTTAATACCAAATTAAATTATTTTTTTTAAATTATAAAAAAACAATCAAAACGAATAGATTGCGAATCAACGTTTCGTGTTAGTATTATAGATACCGGAAGTGACTTGAGCTTGATAAATCGAGACTGTTATGAGAAAATAGGTTGTTCGGAGTTAAGAAACAAAATAAAGTCGAAAACACAATGCGAGGGAACAGCGTATATAATCAAATGATAAAAAGTTCGGTTTTGATTGGTGCCGACTTTCTAAATCAGATCGAGTTGCATTTCGTAGGGGTTACAATCAATAAGTTACAATCCGTGAAATTATTTCAGATTTGCCGGAAGTATTAAGTGTACAGATTAGTTCGGTCCGTTTTTTGTGTTCAAAAATGCATTTATTTCAAAACAAAATGAATGAACAGATTAATTAAAGTATTGTCTATCGCTTGCTACTACTTTTTCCCATCTCTCAGGCAATTTTCGAATTCCATCTCGAAAAAAATGAGTCGTCTTTGGAGGCGATCATCTTTTGGAAAACGGACTGAAAATTAATTTGTACTCCCAATATTACAAATAGACGTTATAGAAGATACCCATCTGCAAGATTTCTTGTATATTCGTGAGAGACGCGCGGCAGAAAGTTGAAGCGATCATACGAGGTTATGAACCTAAAGAAACGCGAGAAGTCGGTGTTGAAATGACTTTGATTTTGAAAGATGGCATTCCAATCTATCAAAGATCGCAGGTTATCCTAGCCGGAAAAAGAAGTAGAAAAACAGTTGGAGATGTGGTTAGACGCGTGTACATTTATATTAAACCTTCCACGTTCGATTACGCGAGTCCCATTAGATAGAAAGAAAAACAGCGATACAAGAATCTGTGTAGAATATAGAAAACTGAATGACAAAATTGTAAAAGACCGTTATCCGCTGCCGTTGGTTGAGGATCAATTAGATCGGCTGCAAGATCTTCTTTTTCTTAAAGATATAATAGGCAAGTCGAAAGAGTTCATCGTACGCTCGTATTGCTTTTGACAAAGCTTGCCGTTCCTAAACCGGAGGAGTGGTTTAAATCTTTAACACTCGCACACAATGTTATTTAAATGTTACGCCGAGTCGGAGCACTGATCAAACGTCGTTCCAATTAATGTTCGGTACATATACCCAGATAGCAAAATGCTAGCAGTATGCCAGCAAACTTGATCATGACGTTACAGCAGATATCAAACTGCTGATTCCTCGTTAAGTGTAGTTTCTAACAGCTTATTCTGCCAACTTAACTCAACGATAGAAATACAACAAAAATCAATCATTATTTGCTGTCACATCGTGACAGCGAAAACGCGGTAAAAACACAGCACAACCTGACATAATCAAGTACTGACAGCAAAAACGTCACGACGTGACGGCAGGCTGTGCTCGATTTTTGCTGCGTTTTTGATGTCAGTACTTGATTATGTCAGGTCGTGCGGTATTTTTGCCGCCTTTTTGCTGACATAATATGACAATAAGTGTGCCAGATTTTTAACATTTTGCTGATTTAACATGTAGTCATGTTTTATATCAAGTTTTCATCTATTTTTTGTTAATTTATTTTGCCAGCATGTATTGCTCGATTTCATGCTTGCTTTACTTCGGTAACGTTTGATGAATTTTTACAGAATTTTTTTGCTAGTGTATTATGACGCTCTGCTCTATTTTTGCTGTATTTCTGTTATCGCTATACTGAAACGATAAACCGTGTTCGACTGCTGCTCGATTTTTGCCATTATAATATGTAGCATAAATTTGCAATGCGTGCTTTTGGCAGGTTTGGCTATCTGGGTATGCGTTCGAAAGAGGATCCACAGATACGCGAAATCGTCGAAAACGAGTGGATACGAATGTTTGAGAAGAAGCGCGACGATATTCGACACAAAGCTAAAGAAAAAATTGTCAAGATTCAACAGGAGAACTTAAACAATTTTAATAATAAAAGGAAAAAGGCGCGAGAGTACAAAGAAGGAGACCTTGTTGCAATCAAGCGTACTCAGCTAGGTCTGGGTATAAAATTCCGTGGCAAATTTTTAGGTCCTTATCGTGTAATAAAAAAAAATGCGAAATGATCGATATGTTGTGTTAAGAGTAGGTGATCATGAAGGTCCTCACGAGACCTCTGACTATATGAAATGTGTTGGTTGTCAGATGAGCAAAGTGAAACGACAGCGAACGAAGAAGAGAATGACAGTAAAGTATAACAAAACCAATAGTTTCTCTATGTGTCCTTAGTAGCATTGATGTTTAAGTTAGCATGCAGATTAGAATTAAAAAAAAAACCCAAAGTCTAAAATGTAAGCATTTGAGGGCGAATGCCCCGCAAGTTGGCCGAGTAATTGTAGGACTTGTAACGATGTTCAAATTCGTAATTCCCACGTTCCTAGAATATTTAGGTATATTGTACCGCATCAGAGAGGGGAGCGTATGGAATATCCAGCGAATAGGCGCTAAAAGAAGGAAACTGAGAACAAAGAGGCGAGCGAGTCAAAACAAACGGCAATTTTACTCTCTGTACTTTTATTACCTTATTTAATTAAAGGTTATTGTTACTTTAAGTGTAACTCGGTCTTTTCAACTATCATTCCCACATATATATATATATATATACATATATATATCAATTTTCACTTTTCACGTTTCTATTTTAAACAAAAAGTTACATAATCGTTATCTTGATATAAAACTTGATTTTTTCTGTGCTATTTAAATGAAAAAAATTCGCAGAAATAGTCAATTATTTTATTAGCGTTTCTTCAAAATCGACAATTTTTAGAATATGATTCAGTTAGATCTCGTTTTTAGAAGGTTCTCGTTGATGTGCTTAAATAAAGAAAAAATATCATCAACATTTGTGACATCTGTCGCAATGTTTCACTGTCAAATCATTTTCATTCTGTGAAGACGACGAAGTTTGTACGTTAGTCTGATTTTAATGACTTGGCGAGAAAAAAAAAAAGAAAAAGAGACTTTTCCAATTAACTAAAACATTTTGATGCTCTTTGCGAAGATGTGAGGATACCTATTGGCGATACCTATCCACCAACTAGCGCGTTAGATATTCTTAATTAGTTAGATTACTTAACTATTACTGGGTAAGATAAACTCTCAACAGATAATAAGTGATATTATCAGGTCAATAACTTATCGCGACAATTTTGTGATGTGTATACCAAACGTAAACGTCGCGTGCAAAATGTCTTCCTTATTCTATGCTCAGTACCTTAACTGTCAAGTTATATGTATATATATTATATGTACAAGATACTTCTCATCTTTTAAGATATTCTACATATCTATATGAAATATAAATGGACATTTATATCTTGTACAATATGCAGATATTCGACATATTATACAAGATACAAGCATTCGATTACAGCAAAATAGTCGTGCTATTAGAATTGTGAAGAGTACGGCCGCATCTCGACTGGGAAATCGCGATCAAATTTTCGTAGTACGGACTTGGTTTTATGTTAGCGCAGAATAGCCAATAAAAATCGTCATAAATAATTAACGCATATAAATAACTTAAGTGAGCTCTCCGCGTGGTGAGATATCGTATAATTCGGAAAAGGAAACAATATTTTTAATCTATGTACAAATACACAGGCTCCGTCATATTAAATGGGATCAATTTCCACGATCATAAATTTGTACACACAAATTTCCTTTTCCTACGCCGCTCATTTGGTCGTCTATACTATAAATATTTGTTTCAATTCTCTCAGTAATAATGAGACGTCCGGATTTCTTTCGTAGCAAAATAATTTTTGCGGTCCTGTATTGGAAGGGTGTTTATGGGTTCGTGTGTATGTATAATAGATGCGAGTGTACTTTCTGGAGAACAATACCGTTTTCTCGTATTGTTAACTGTTCTCTGTTCGAGACTAAGGCGAATACGTGTGTGCTATGTTCAAATGAATAATATTATGTATGTGTATGTAATCGCAGGAAGAAGATAGTAAACTCTTGTCAATCAAGTGAAGATTCTATCTCTTGTCTTTGGATTGAAACACGGCGATCTCTACTTTTTTTCAAAAAAAGTATGTCTCCCGTGATTTATATAAATTTATCCCGCTGTCCATACCCCTCTCGCGTGTGTTTGGACGCACGGAATATGACGATATACGATTAGAATTCGCGCTCAAATAAAACACCGGTTTCGTTCCGCCGCGTGCGGATTTGCGCTCTTAACGAACGGATTGTACTACAGTCGCCAAGAAATCACCTTTTCACGTGGTTGACACAATAGTGTTCGTCGGTGACAAATGTGTCGAATTTGTCGTTGTTGCCGTTGCCATCGTCGTCGTCGTCATCGTTGTCATCGTTGTCATCGTCGTCGTCGTCGTCATCGTCGCTGTCGTCGTCGTTGTTGTTGTCGCCGTCGTCGTCGTCATCGTCGTCGTTGCCGTTGCTATCGCCGTCGCCGTCGTCGCCGCCGTTGTCACCGTCATGCTTACCACGTTGCTCAGCTGCACACTCGATTCTGAAGTTCGCACGCTCGAGTCCTTTTCCAAACATGGTCTCTTCGCCTCCTTGTGCTCACCGGACGAGCTGGACTTTCTCTTGTGCTTCGAGCTCGACGAGTGGGAGCGACTCGACGTCGCGTGGCTATTCTTGCTGGTGCCGGACGACCTCTTCTCCCCGTGTCTGTGAGTGCAGTGGTGATCGCAGTGACATTTCTTTCTCCTCTCCTCGGATTTCTTCTCCACATTTTTCGAGCTCGTCCGCTCTGACTTTTCAACGGTAGGGTAACCGTGCGACAGCCCAGAAATACTCAAAGCGTCATCCTTGTTGTCATTGGACGCTTTAGACTCGGATTTTAACTGAGTGGGACTCCGATGATGATGTCGATCGTGCTTTCTCTCCCGTCTCTCGTGATCCCTTCTTTTCTTGTGCCTTTGTTCTCTACAATCCTTCTCGTCCCTGCTTCTGCATTTTGATTTCGAGTGGGCCGTACCGTGAGATTCGGACGATTTCGGTGAATTCTCGTCGCTACTACCGTTCCTGCTGTTGCTGTGTCTTTCGTTCTCCGTCGACGGAGATGTGGAGGACATCACGGACGAGGAATACGAGGAGATACCGATCGTCGTCGATGTCGCTGCTGAATTTTCGCTGCATGGATTACCGTTGGTTGCAAAATCGCTGGTTTTCTCATTTTTCGCTCTTTCCTTCGCCTCGTCTTCCGCCATTTCGATCAGTGCTTTAACGGCGTTTTCCGTCGCGCATTCCATTTTCGACGTGAATGCTAACATGGTTTCTATTTCGAGTACATGGCAGTATCTCTGCAGTTTTACAGCGTCATCTTTGAAGCATTGCTCGGCTATTTCAAAACTTTCCTTGCGAATCTTCTCCAGCACTTCCTTCGAAGCTTCCGAAACTTCAGTACGCAGCGACTGGCACACTTCCTGGACATCAGTCTTCGATTTGTAGATAGCTATCTCTAATGCCCTATCCACAACCTCAGTGGCGTATGTTTTGGCAACAGTCTGCCGCTGTATCAATAATTCTTCGTCGAGAATAATTGGAGAAGAATCTTCGGACCCAGGGGTGTCTACCGACGGAGACAATTCCGAGCTCAATCGTCTCTTGGCCTCCTTCAAGGAAGATGAATTGTCAAACTTGGAAGCTATTCTCGTTTCTACTATCCCGGCTACGCTTTCTTTACTCGATATACTCTTACTGTTAGATCTCTCATGATGACTGCAACGATGATCCAACTTGTGGCCGTTACTGTCATATTTTTTCTTCTTGCAAGAGTGACAATTATCAGAACTGCTACTACTGTTACTATGCGTATGATGACTACTCGACTTTTCACTGCTGCGACGGCGATCCTTGTGTTTCTTCTCAGATCTCTTTTCGTCCCTCTTATCGCCGCTCTGCTTCTGCTCGCTGGTTTCACTCTTGGATGATTTAGTGCTGCCAAATAGATCCGACGACTGGTTGTCACTACACTCTTCCTTATCCTTTCGTTTGAGCGACGAATGGCTGGAGTGATGTCGATTCTTGCGATGCTTTCCGTGCTGATCGGATTTCTTCAGATTACCCTGATATTCGGCTGCTCTCTCCTTCGCCTTCTCGAGAGAATCAATCGACAGTTTCTGATCTAAACGCTGCCGATTTGTATTCTCCTTCTGCTCGTCGCCAACAGCTTCTAGAGGCTTTTTCTCCTTGATGCGATGAGCAGATTCATTTACTACACGGCTGTGTCTGATACTCGTACTGTGCTGCGATTCTGGGTAGTACTGTTTCAGTCTGATGTGCCAAGCGATACTCGAAACAGCTGAAACTGTCCTGAACTGATGGATGATGTTGCGTGGTAGAAAATATATGTCATTATCGTACAGATTTATCTTAGCATAACGAACACCTTGTCGACGCAACTGATTCAGTTTCGCATCCTCCACCCACTGCACGCACTGCGATATCGGCGGCTCGTGCAAGTCCAATTGTAATTTTTCGACAAGCTCGGTAAAGTCGCCCGCGTAAAAAGCCACGACATCCTTCGTGATCCTGTTGTATTGGGACGCTTGACCACCGTGGACGGCTTTCAGCACGCCAACTGCCGCTGTGGTCATCCTGTCCAATCCATGACCAACGTGATCGGCGTGTGCCTTCGTACGATCTTCGAACATGTACTCTCGAGCCTCGCTGAGCCGTGGTAGATACTGTAAATTTCTCAACTCGTTAATGCCCGTCCTACGTCGTTTATACGGGCTTTTATTTATGTCGGCCGTTGGTACTAGCTGTTCGCCTGGTCGGATCCACAAGATAGGGCCGTCGTTTGACTCTTGCGGCGTATCCATCTTCACGACGGACAGAGGTCCCCAAGGCATTGTCTAGGATACAACGTGATTCCATTAGCAAATATGTATGTAACAAATATACATATACATAGATCTACAATGTACTTACCATTTTTAGGAAAGGGTTTTCTTCTAATTTTTGTAGTAGATCTGGAAAATATCCACCAACTTCTTCGTGAACAGTACCCACCAGACTTATTTGATGCAATGGCCCATATCTAATAGTACCGTTACTATAAGCTTTACAAACTTGATCTTTGTATTGAGCCATTGTGGTTGTTTCTATATCACTGTTTCTACCTAATACCCCGTTTTTTACAGTCAACGTGGAATAATTATTCGCCATATAGTCCAGAAGATCAGGTAGGTATGCAGCTGCATTATGTACTATACCCATAACATGATGAGCATTTCCATTTTCGTCTTCACCGAAAACCACCTAGGAAATATAAACAGACTTCATGTTACTAAAAATTCACTGGAGCATGGAACTGAAAAAAGTTTTGGTTGAAGTCGCATACATGATGCGTGCTCTTCGATTTTATTACAAATTTACAACACTAAATATTTACGTACTTTGAAATACTCCTGTGCCAATTCTTGCATTTGCTCATTTGTTAAAGTACTAATTTCATCCTGAAACATATGGACAACTGTTGCACCACCATTAGGATACGTTTCTATATGGATGAACTTTTTGTACTTTAGGCCTTCCAGCAATTCCTTTTTCGTCACCGGATTGTTTAGCATCTTATAGTTTTTTGTTTGTAGGTTTAACCTTAAGTTTTCATTGACCGATTTCGAGAAAGGGAGAATCTTGCTACTTAACGAAGACAAAACGTGACGGTCCCGTTTGCATTGTACGCCAATGCTTGCTCGTTTAATTCCTTTGCGTTTGTGACATCGTGAACAATATCGTCTGTCTTCTTTGGAACGTTTCTCTTTCGAAGACGAGTGCAAACTGGAAGATGGATTAGCAATAGAATCCGTGGATTTATCATGGAATTCTATCGCCAGTTTCTTTCCATTCGACTCTATCTCCGAAAAATTATCTTTTGTCCATTCGGATTTAACCATTTGAAATGTCTCCTGCAAGTCTACAAATTCTTTCTTAATCTCAATAGGCTCCGTTGTCAGTTCTTTGTTTATAACGTCTTCTCCCGCAGCATCTTGCTGCTCGTTCAATTCCGTTTTTATAACTTGAGAATTTCCTATTTTCGTCGGCGATGAACAAAATAGATTATCAACTATTTTATCCATACACGTGACCGTATTCTTGTCAATATTCTCTTCGTTATATTTTGCTGTGTCCATAATAACTGTAGAATTTGCCGACATTATGCTAATGGGAAATGTCGTATCTTGAGGATCAGGACTGATAGAAACTCTTGGAGGATAGTCAGGACTCCTCGGACTACTGATCACTTCACCATTACTTTGCGGACTCTCTCCCAACTGTGGTGTGTTATTGGAGAAATTAACACAGCCTTCCAATTTCGGTTTTGTGGATAATATGTGCATGTCTCCAGATAACATTGTGTCGTTGTCACATGTAGAATCGGTCTAAACAGAAAAAAGTTAATTAACAATAATGATTGCCTCGATTTTGCATAATTTCTGTAATATGATTAAACATAAAAATTGTATTGTCAATGATACATGTCGGTGTAGAATGCACACATAATATGTAATATAAAAAGTATCTTACAAAAATTGCACAATACATACATGTGTAATATGTTCAATCGGATCCTTAGCAGTTTTTACTACATCATTGTTGCAATGATCTGGACTTCCTGCAGCATACATATAATTTTATTTAATAAAATGTTATAAATATTAAATAGTATGGTCCTTAGATTTACACGAAGAATATAAGATTTCAAGTAAAGAAGTACAAAATTAACGACGATCTGTTTTAAGATCTTAATTTTCAATTTTATAAAATATATAACATATAATCTTACATTTAAAACTTATGCTCCATATTATTCTTTTATGAAAAAATTTTCTTTTCAAAAAACATACTATTGTTATATGTTATTCTCGTTATTGCATTAATAACAAAAATTAGCATTTTTTCATTTTATGTTATTTAAAATTTGGTAAGTAAAAATATAACATACAAATGTTACGGTATTTCAGCCAAATGCTATTATTATTATTATTATGAAAATTATTCTAACCATTTCCATTTGTTCTCATGTTAATTCTGTTAACAGAAAAAAAATGAAATACAATTGTCTCGTAGCATAATACATGCCGATCAATTTTTATTTCTAGGCCTTTATACCTATATTAAAAATAAATTTAAAATAAATATAGATTATTAAAATATAAAAAGGAAATATATTGTTAACAAACAGACTCAACATATCCTTTAGTAATGATTATTTTAGCAATTGCTATATGTATCAAATCCAAATTTGTTTTCATTGTTACTACTCAACTACATTTGATCTGTATTGAATATAATCTATGGATTAGAATATAGAAATGCAAAGCTTTGCAGGTAGCTGTCAGACCAGTGGAATAAATATTGTACACATCCCGGTATTACAAATGACACTGATATATCCGAGAGCTACCAGCCGTTTGAAAATATCTTTCTCAAGCTTCACGCGACAATGAATAGGAGAGAAACGAAAGGAGAGATTACCGTCTGGCTCTCCCGGAAGACGAGCGGTGTTGTCCAGGTCGCTATCATGACGAGACATGCTGCGTCGTGGAGCGGACGGTTGGTGCGTTTCGTTGTCGGGCTCGCTTCGCTCGCTGCTCGCAGCCAGTTGAGCCACATCACCAGACGAGCCCGCGAGGCCCGCACTACTCTGTAACGCGTGCCCTTCCGTGTTCGTGTGAGACGGTGACGCTGCAGGGAGATCCGTGGGCGTCCTCGGCGAATTACGCGCGGGTTCGCGCGCCTCCACGTCCGTCTCCTCGACGACGACACTCGCCACCGTCCCGGATGACGTAACGCCCGCCGTTTCGCTCCCGACTGACACGATTGCCCGCTGACTCGTATTATTTACATCACATCCGACGTTTGACACAATACCCGCACCGTCCTCAGATGCCATCTTGATTCCGTGAGCGACATATCCCCCAGACGCGACGATACTACGCGGCCGCCGATTGGCGGTCTCGCTCGCCGGCGGCGGGGCGCGCCGGCCGCTATTTGCTCCACGCTATTCGCTCGCGCCGACGTCGCCGACGTCGCGGAGTGGGGGCCGCGCCAGTAGACGGGGCGGTTCTATCGGTACGACTTACGATGAGGAACATTTTTATCCGTCGGAATCTTCGATCTGTACGAACCGTAATCGTTTTCCGCGAAATTTTTCGATCCCTTATGATTCTTATCCACCTTCCATCGCCGTGCCGCGCGCCGCCGACGACGTGCGCGGAATGAAGACCGAGGAGGAAATACGAGGGCCGGATGTCATTTCTCACGATTCGCGGGAATTTCCGGCTACCCTGAGTCAATCTGAACATTCAGAAGCAGCAGTTCAAACTGGTGCTTATACAATCAATCGGTATTTAATTGTATAATACAGCACAGAGATTGTCTCAGCAATATTATTGTAGTAATATTGCAAATGTTGCGGCAATATTGCTGCAAGCTTTTGTTCTGTTTGAGTACTGATAAGTAATATACTTATGAAAAATTAATTTTTTTTTTAAATTACAGATTTTCAATCGCGTAACTTTTCAGTAAATTAACTTGATTATATTTTCTTGATATTGTATTATTTACGTTTCGAAAGTTTAGTTTAGTCTTTTATGAATATTTTTTTCCTGATGCTTTTGTGTTTATTTCAATGAATCTAAAATTTGCTTCTAGTGAGATGAACATTAATATAATAAAATTACAACAATTTAATAATAATAAATATACCTTGGCTCAATTTGAATAAACAAAATAATAAGACGAGAAGGACTAGATATTCGAGCCATAAGCAAGAATTGATAACATATATCAACTGTAATTATAAACCTGCTGTATAAACCTTCATCTTATTAATGTCAACAATATTAAACGTTTCGATCTTTTTCCTACGGTCCTCTTCAGTGATGTGTAATTATTTTACATTTTGTACTGTATATTACATATTATACATTATTCATTCATTATTCTTTCTTTTGTTCATTGACTTGCATTTGTTATACGCTATCTTTGCTTGTAGAGTTTTTTTTTTCATCATGATGATCGATCATCATATAAAATTATATTGTTATCGAACAAAAATATATCATAACTTTATAATCATTGATGAAACTTAATTGTTAATTTCATTTATGGAAATCTATTGTTAAAATATCAAAAAATATAATAATTGTATAGGAGAAGATGATAAATCAAAATTTAGAAGCAATAACATTGCAGTTAATAATGCCTGGTTTATGCTTCGGTCTTAAGGTCTTAATCCTAAAATTCAGCCAATAGAGTTTAAATTTCGGTTAGAACTGGTAGCTTTATTGGTTGAATTTTAGGATCTTGGGATTAAGGGCGACTGTTACCAACGCTGATTGACCAATCGCATTTATCATTTAGTTTTAACGACAGACGCGATTGGTGAATTCCAATGGACTAATCGTCGATTAAGTTAATCGGCGTTTAATCGGCGTTGGTAACAGTTCGCCCTAATGCCCATTTCCACCAATGTAGATTAACTTTAATCTCGGTTCAATTTGCTCTTCATCTTTTTCTAATTCTAAAAATTAGAAAAAGATGAACAGTAAGTTAAACCGAGATTAAAGTTAATCTGCATTGGTGGAAACAGGCATAAAACCTGAAGCATAAACCAGGCATAAGAATTATACATGACGGGAGCACAAAGTCTTGCTTAATAATACATAACATATAAGGTCTGTTCTTTATTGCTGAACTTTTACACCAGTTCATCTTTTTTCCTTTTCCCTTCTCCAGTAGGCCTATTCTAATAACTTTTTAACGAAAATTTTATTAGATAGGAATATGATCGTTGCGCAAGTATTTCACATGGTGAAAAAGCTGCGCAATGACAGTGTATAACGATATCGAACTGTTAAAAAAGTTACAGAATAGGCTAGAGAGAAAAGGAAAAAAGTTGATCTAGTGCAAAAGTTCAGCAATAAAGAACAGACCTATAATGTAAAAGAAATAAAAAAATGAACCAATCAAGATTCTTTGTTTCCTTCCTTTTTATGAAATACAAGACTATATGATTGGTTGATTTTCTTAAGTTTTTCTTTAATTTTAAGCAATTTTTTGTAATTATTTCTATTGTTTCAAATTTAGAATTAAATGTGTCGACATTTTAATATTGTTTTGAATGTAATTTACTTCTGACTCTTACTTCGCCCTTTTAATTTATGTTGAATATTATTATATTAAGAGTCCTTGAATATTTTCATCTTATTTGATTTTCTTAAGCTTTATAGGCCTTCTACAATAAGCCATTACCTAAGTTTTAAGTATTAAGTCATAAGAAATTGACCACTCACAGTCGATTATTCTTCTCACATTCAATTGTGATTGGTAAATTTCTTATGATTTAACACTTAAACCTTAAGTAATGGCTTATCGTAGAAGACCCATTATAGATTGTATGTTATGCAAATTATAAGGTCTGTGCTCCCCGCTTTAGAGCCCCAACACACACTTTTGCATAACGCATAAAGCATGTGCATAAGGAATTTCATTGGCCCATTTTCTTATACATGAGTCAATATAAGTGCAGTAAGGGTGCAGTCCCATGGAGCGTATCGCGCATATCGCGGATTAGCGGATCGCCAATCACAGAATCGTTCTGTTAGATCTGTTTACAAATTTTGTAAGCAAATCTAACAGAACGATTCTGTGATTGGCGATCCGCTAATCCGCGATACGCGCGATACGCTCCATGGGACTGCACCCTAAGAAATCAGTATTTCGAGTGTCAAGTAACATCAAACAACGCTAAGAATGGATTGCATTAATTCAGCATGTATATCCTGATATAAGAATACCTAAAATTTTCCTCGTTTGTGAGGATCATTTTAAGGAAAATGACATTATAACAACAAAAGTGATTAAGAATTCGGATGGAAAAGTAATATTTGAGGTAATGTATATCACAATGTATTATCACAATGCGAATGCGCCAGTACGCCAAACAAATAAATAATGATTTAATGAAAACGAGTTGTCAAAAAAAGAAACAAGCTCGTTTATATAATACATAAAAATGTAGAAAATGTACAAGATTCAATTTTTTAACTCATGTTACGAATGTGTTATTTTTAAGTTTATCAACAAAATTTAATAAAAGATGTTTGTGCAATTATTACAACAATTTCTTTAATTATTACATGTTTCTTTTATTAAGATCTTATTAGTAGGTGATCTATTCACATATCTTTTAAAATACTCGTATTCGTTCGTATTCGTATTCGATTAATGGCACTAAATCCCAAGAACTGGGAAATTATACGGCCAGAACGAAAATTCAAACGAGTAGATTCTATGTTCAGACGAGTAATCTTACATGCTCTTAATCAAGCAAACGAAGTCACTCTACCAAGTAATCTCAAGCGGACGAGTTCACTCTACCAAATTGAATTGAAAATATATGGGGAGCAGGCGGATTCGAACCCGGATCCGCAGATCACGAGTCCGTCGCCTAACGTG